AGCAAATCAGTCAAGAAACGGCATGATATTTGGGCTAATTTACTCAAACCCATGTTGTTTTAAAGAAAACATACTAGCGCCTAAATCCTTCCTAATGTTATACCGTTTGGGGAAAAAAATTTCGCGGCCGGGCCACGTCGTCGTCGTTACCGTCTACCGATATGTTAAATATCGAAGGTAATGTTGCCATTTGAACTGATGGCAATTAGACGTTACTTACATACATATGAGTATTCACAGTGTTCTTTCTTTTTCCTGCTTTAAAATATTATTATTAATCATCACCGAATATTACGTACACAACACAGTCCAGTGCAGTGTTGGCATTCAACATGTGGAAAACGTCATGATTATGTGCGTACTTTTCTACTGTGGCTGATAAATATAATTTACACTCAGTCGGTTTAATAGGTATATACATCTTAATACTAAGTTTACGAATCTGAGGAAATATGTAACACCCCATTTTGCTTAGAGACTGTAAATGTATGATTATGCACCGATCTATGAAATGTAACACGTACCTAACCCGTAACCGTTCCAGCCACTGTAAAATTTTACATCTAAACAAGAGAACATCAAAAGGAACGCGTGGGAACCATATTTGCCGGTAAAACCAACATGTTGTTGTGTTTCGTAGAATTGTAGTTTTTTGTTGTATTTACGCACACATGATGAGCATTGCTTTTGTCTGATAACTGATATTTTATCAAGGCTGCAGATAAATTAATTAAAATTTTGCGTTCTGATAGTCTGTATAGACTATACTATATAGTTAATTAAGTACGCATACGACGGCATATTGAAATTCCATTGTCATGGTTGTGGAATTCGGTTACAGTCCTATAAATTAATAGCCCGAAGGTCCGATAGACCGAAGCCCGATAGACCGTAGGTTTATTCGAATACGCAGTGGTTACACGTCTGGAATTGGTCGCCTAGCCTTCAGGCTACGCATCCGGACATCCACTGACGCCGTATTCGAACGTGAATATGCCGCACATCCACCGATGCCACTATAAACCATATATATGCCCTAACGGTAACCTAGCTCTAGTAACTGTAGACCGAATAATTCTGTCCCATATAACCTTTTTTATATTTTGGTGAGCACAGGCACTTGGAAGCGTTTCAACTGTAAACACACGCCGCCGCCATTGCGCGCACACTGACACATAAATATATAGCAAGTGAGAAAGCGTGCGCCAGGAATTCGCTCGACGCTCGCTTGATTACACACGATTACAACAGAAATACTCAACCTTACGACTCCATCTTTGCTGCTAATTGAAGTACAGTGTTCACTTGTTGTAAAAATATTATGTCTCACTTCGAAACAGAGCTGTGTCACGCAAAATCACGAATTAAATCATGAAATTCTCGCGATTGCTAGCACTGCGCGCGCGATTGTAACAACCTTAAGTACATGGCGGAAGGCGGCGCACTGCATTTTGGGTAACAACGACGTTGCTTTCCGCCTCCATGTGTGCCCCGTCAAAGCCGCCAGTGGGGCGTTGCTATAGATACCATAGACGGGACCAACTTTCGTTACCTCTGCACGTTTTCAAGACAGTTACATCGGAGTGTACAGTCTGATAGTTGGAGCATGGAGCGAGTCGAGTCGCCGGAGGCATGCTGTTCGAAAAATGACGTCACGAATATGGCCGGTAGGGGGTCTCCAGATCCCGAAGTTGTTACAATCGCGCGCGCAGTGCTAGCGATCGCGAGAATTTCATGATTTAATTCGTAATTTTGCGTGACAGCTCTGTTTCGAAGTGAGACATAATATTTTTACAAGTGAACACTGTACTTCAATTAGCAGCAAAGATGGAGTCGTAAGGTTGAGTATTTGTGTTGAAATCCTGTGAAATCAAGCGAGCGTCGAGCGAATTCCTGGCGCACGCTTTCTCACCTGCTATATATTTATGTGTCAGTGTGCGCGCAATGGCGGCGGCGTGTGTTTACAGTTGAAACGCTTCAAGTGCCGGTGTTGGTGAGGGTTATATTGGGACAGAACGGGGTTTATTGAAATTTCGTAAGATCGCATGCAAAATGCATGCGCTGCGAATG